TTTTTTTTTTTTTTTTTTTTTTTTTTGATACTTTACTCGACAATAACGCGTTTTTCGAGATTGATTTTTCTGCAAAATGTGAACGTAATATTATTGAAACAGAGGAAAAGAAAATATGAAGCTATAACGTTCGAGATGATTAAGGAATCATGTTTCTGTGCGATGCGGATGTTGATTTTTATTCGAATTATAATTTCTTTGGAGACTGTATAATATCTCGTCAAATAATTCCATGAAAAAATACTGAAAGATCGTCTTTTTTTTTTTTCTAAGGTAGTTGTATCTGTATCGCATTAAATGTCATTTCCTTGAACACAATGACATTACTAATTCGTGTTATCTATTCTCAGATATTACATAATATTACATATACCGACAGCTATGGTGTACTATGCAATATCGGCGGTGTATTGTTTCAAACGTTGTCTGTAATTCATACCGTATTAAAGCTGCTTTAAACAAACGGCCTTGTAACATTGTAAGATTATTGCCAGGGTATTCGAATTTCGATTGCAAATATTACATCTCGCCAGCAACCGAATACTTAACATATTACTTGCAATACTGATTAAAAAAAAAAGGAAAATGCAACTCAACGACACTGATAGACAGTAAAAAGTACGGATAAGCCGAGATTCTTGATGAGTCATGATGCACATATGTATTCCATTGTATAATTAATCTTTGTTTCTTGTTAAAAAAAATATGACTATATCTCTCTTATATAACGATAAATGAAAGGAGTATACATCTCGGCTTAAGTAATGCTGTCTCGACTAAATATTTTTACAACTATTATACAGCTGGACTGTAGCGACTTGTATGCAAAACATTCGTAAAAAAAAGTAGTGATGAACAGAATTATTTTTGTTACGCGTTTCGAATTTACGAGCGAGACAAGATGTCTACATATAAATAAGGAATATATTTCTTATTCTTCGATGTTCGATCACGATTAGGTCATACATGGGCTTGGCAAGGAAATTACGGTTCTTCGCTTGATTTCAGATATATTAATAGAACGCCAAATTACCATGAAGAACTAACTATCGATCTTCCTGTCTCTTCCTTTTTTCATCCATGATACGCAGGATAATTTTTTTATTATCATTTAAAAATTCTTCGTTATTATTGATACTGATTTTTTTTTTACGAAATTTTCTATCCTCTTTCTTCTCGTATCTTGTTCTTTCCTTTTTATATATACGAAGAAGAAAACGAATGCATTTAGGCCAACTATTTTTTTTTTCGCCTTCCGTCGAGCTCTTCTTGTCATATGATAATGCGATCATTTTTCTCGGTGTGGAATTTGCACTGCGTACCCGTATGCAGCTTAGCGCCACGAGTATCCTTGTACGCGCGACGTGTGACACGAAAAGGTTGAACGAGCACGGCACCAGGAAAAATTTGCATAAGTCTTGTATTCTCGCTCTCTCTTTCCCTATGACCCACGATCACAGGACTGTGCTAGAAGTTCACGGTATTCCGTATACCGTGATTTCTCCAACGTTCCACGTAGCACATACGTATAACCCATACGTTACGGCGAAACAGCTCTTTCTTTACACGTCAATTTTTAATTTCGTCCGTTCCCTTTTAATTTCGGCTCGTTTGATCGATTATAAACTATATCCAAGATTAGGAGGAATACTTGGCTTTTTTTTCTTTGGCAACGATAGGAATTCTCTGACGTATATTTCTCCAGCACCAACAGTTTCACCGGGACGGGAGATTATTCACCCTACCCTTCACCGCTCGATCGAAATTAGCACCCACACCGTTCAGCTTGAACTCGCCTTCTTATTATGCGACCTTACCCTGAGGACAACGGTTGAGACGCGTGCACACGTGCACACGGGAGAAGTGAAAGGTAGGGTGGTAACACAGATTTATCTTCACCGGTGTACGGTTTTACCGTGGTTCACCGTTCTGTGCATGATCAGATATTAAGCGCTGAATAGCGCACCGATGCCCTTTTTATATCCTCTCTTGTTGACTCTCGCTGACATTCTCGCTGCGCGGCACACAAGCCGCAACAACTCGTTCGCACTCGCCAACTTATCGACAAAACTATGCGATTCCACCGCAAGGAAAGTAAGATAAGTACGACTGATCGATAAAAAAGATCAACGATGGTATGGAAGAAAGTTTTCAACTATCCGAGTTGGGACGAATAAATTCATCGTTCGTTGTAGCAACCGTTGTTTTTTGAATTAACATTAACGCGTCGTAACGTGTGAACGATCTCCCCTCCCCTTTCTTCGAAACGAGCACAACGTGCTTTTCCCTCCCCTCTTCTTGGTTTTTAAAAGAGGAAAAAAAAAAAGTCGATTAATTATCTTAATAGGATAATCGTTTGTTTGACCCGCAACACCGTTTGCCTGGAATAATGATAAAGGCATGTTTTCGCCTGATAATGTGTACACAGTGTATTCATACTATTATGTAATAAGAAGGATAGCATTATCGTGTTCAAAACGTGCTTATTCACGTGGGCGATTTTCTTCTTGTTCTTAGCAATATATTTAATAATCGTTCCGTGTGGAATTGGCACCCGTGTTTTCCTTTTTCTTCCACTAGTGGCACTAGTATCGTGGCTAACGATGGCTGTTACGCGCGATGAACAATGGAGAATCGCACGCGGAAAGACGCGCATCGTGTTCTCCTATCTTTTCTCGTTGTTTCTCGTTGTAGCTTTCTTTGATGGGAAATCGGAAGCACGAACGTATCTCATCGATGGATAAAAACAATAAATAACGTTACTTTCACCAATGAATGACAGACACTGTAAATACGATTTCCGATGAAATTACTATCGCTATATCTCGTTTTCTATCGGTAATTTATTCCGCACTTGATTCCTATTGAATTTCTAGGAAAATGAAGAGGAGGTGGTAGTGCATCAAAGTTCGTTGAAATAGAGGAATTAATCAGTCCCACACCTTGCGCGATTAATTATATCTATGATCGTAATTATTAATATTCTTATCGTGTAAAATGTAA